CGCGATGGACAAGGGAAAGCAAGCGTGAGCGTGAAGCCTTACGACGTATACTACAGTTACCACGCAAAGGAGCGCACATTCGGTGTTGGTTCGGGGTAGGAGGGATTCTCCGTCGATGAGTACTGGCGTTCATCCCCGTGGACGAACGTCTAGCCACAATCCGCATGAAAGGGTGATTCTTCAACTTCTCGGTCATCTGCGCCCATGCCCCGACGAAAGCTTAACGTCGAAAAGCTGCAATCACAACACACGGCGAATGTATTCGTCACCCGACTCTCACACTTGCTCTCTGAGAGCACTCTTCAACAAACCGACATACGCGAGCAGAGGAACTGCATTTCCCGCTCATTAAGTACCGCCGCCGAAGGGGCAGTCGGATTTCAGCGAGCCCGATAGATCGGTACGATGAGGAATGTCAAAAAGCTGCAGAGAAAAAAGACGCCGCTTACAGGGCCACGCTGCGATTGGGTACAACGTGAGCCATGTGGGACCGTTATAGGAAATTGAAGAAGGAAGCGAGACGTATTTGCCGCAATATGAAGAGAGAGGCCGAAATACGTGAATGCGAAGAGCTGAGATGCTGGCCGACAGGAAAAACGTCCGAAAATTTTACAAGAGGGTTAGGCGACCTACGGAAGGTTTCAAGACCAGGGCGAACTCCTGTAAGAACAACCATGGCGGCCTAGAGACTGATGTCTAGAACGTACTTAAATTATGGAGGGAACACTTTTCCAACTTATTAAATGACACCAGCACTGAAAGTAGTGGATAAGACGAGCCTGAACGCTCAGTCGATGATGATGGAGTCAACGTCCCACCGTCTGAATATGACGAAGTACGAATAGCGATTATGAGGCTGAAAAACGAAAAATCTGCTGAAGCTGACGGCCAGCCAGCTGAGTTATTCAAGCACGGCGACTACAAGCTGATAAGGTGCATACATCAACTCTTATGCAGAATATGGTCAGATGAACGCATGCCCTATGACTGGAGTTTAAGTGTGATCTCCCCAATCCACAAGAAAGGCAACTCCGCAATTAGACCTGGCAAATCCACCATAGATCAGGTCCTCACTATATGCCAAATCCTTGAATAGAGAAAACGATCGACACACACCATCTATTTGTCGATTTCAAAGCTGCTATCGACAGCACGAAACGAAGTTGTCCTTATGCCACGGTGTCTGAATTTGGTATCGCCGCGAAACTAATAAGGCTGTGTAAAATGACATTGAGTAATGCCTGATGCAATAATACAAGGTGGTATCAGTTGTGACAGCTCGATTTGACACTGCCTTAGCTCAGTAGAATGAGAAGAAAAACGGGAAGGGATCAATCCCCATTGGGGGAAAAATATAAAATTTCACATTTTCTCCTAAACAACATTTGCTTTTTTATAGAATATTCGTAATGAAATGAAATAAAATAAGATAAAATACCTTTTTAAGAAAACAAAATGTGTATAATGAGAAAAAATAAAAAACATTCAACTATATTATTAGGCAAAGAATTGTTAAAGAAGTAACACTGTTTCATCTAAGGCAGTCAATATGGCGGAATTAGAGCGAGAAGTTACCAACCGATAACATCTTGTATTATTGCATCATGTACCATCAGCTCTGTCAGAATTGGGAAGGACCTATCCGAGCCGTTTGATACCAAATGAGGTTTCAGACAAGCTGACTCCCTTCCGTGTGATTTCTTTAATCTGATGTTGGAGAAGATAAGAAAATAGATAGATAGATAAGAAAATAATAATTGGTCAAATGAAAATGCGTAAGGATTTTTTGTATGAAATAGTTATGAGCAAAAAAGAGTGTTACTCATACGCCTCGTACACCTTAGTAGGTANGGAAGATAAGAAAATAGATAGATAGATAAGAAAATAATAATTGGTCAAATGAAAATGCGTAAGGATTTTTTGTATGAAATATGAGCAAAAAAGAGTGTTACTCATACGCCTCGTACACCTTAGTAGGTAGAGTGTTTGCATCGAAAACAAGAGGCGTCAGAAATGATTAATGAATTTCGCAGAAACTATCAGAGCTACCGGATATACGGTTTATGGAGATTTTTATTTGCTTTCATTTCCCGTATCTCGTATAACGATTATTCAATTGGTTCGTAAGATATACGTGATTAAATGAAACCACTATTTTTTAAAGCTTAACCGTTATTCATAAATTGCAAATATCTCGAAAAATTATCCATAAAAAAATATCTCGATTTTCGGAATTACCGAGGAATTCTACACGGGAATTGGATAGTGGCATACATAGAACATTTTTTCTAGAAACCAGTGTATTTATACATTTAAAATATATTTGTCTTAACACATTTCCGAATAGGACTGCGCAATTAATAAATTTATTATAACTCATATTAATTGATTAATAGCACAATCCGCTTTCAAGCGCTCGGGGTTAAATATAAAATAAAAGCTATAATAACGCGAGACAAGCTATTTCCGCAAACGAAATTGCAAATTTCACATTCGGCGGGAGTTGTCATAAATGGTGGTTTAATATTGGCAAATGTTCGATATGCTACAACAAAATCGATAACAATAAAAAGTGTTGCCACACCATAATTAAAGCTCTAACTCCATAACCTACTTATCACGTGTTTCGGAGCATTCACATGATAGCGCACAAAAAATTTAATTGAAGGGAAAAAATAGCCAAAAATCGCTAATGGCGATTTCCTAAATTTTTACGCGCAAATATCCAAAACAAATCGCCAAATTGGCGCTAAATCGTCAAACGCTGGTGTATGGCGTGGAGGCATGGAATATGAAATCATGTGATGAAGCGGCACTTGCAATTTTCGAGATAAAGAAGATTCTGCGAAAGATTTACGGACCTTTACTCGTTGGTGATGGCGAATACCGCAGATAATTTAACGATGCGCTGTATGATCTTTAGAACGATATAGACATAGTGCAGCGAATTAAAATTCAGCTGCTCCGCAGGCTTGGCCATGTCGTTCGAATGCACAGAAACGCTCCTGCTCTGAAAGTATTCACCGCGGGCCGCGATGCTGGTAACGGAGGAAGAGGAATGGCTCCACTTAACTTAATCAGCTTACCACAAGGGTACGTACAAGCATACACCTATGGTAAAAAGAATAGAAGCGCGACATTTTAACAAGTTTTGACTATTTTTCTTTTGTATTCAACAATATTTATTGAGCTTGAGNTAGAATAAGGTATGGAATAGAAGCGCGACATTTTAAAAAGTTTTGACTATTTTTCTTTTGTATTCAACAATATTTATTGAGCTTGAGGCCGTTTTTAATATGGAAAAGCAACAATAATTTGAAAAAATCGTAGAAGTAATAGCTATTTCGGAAATCACCACATTTCCTCATTAGACTTCTTTCAGTAGGATTCGACCGACGATCCCACTGACTCAGCCAGTTTCCTACGCACTGTGCTAAGTCCACCTTGTGAGTTCTTGTTGCTTTTTCCACTATTTCATTTGTTAAGCCAACTACAATCAAGCGCAGCTATTCACACTTGATCATGTGGTTGTTGGTTTTGTTGGTTTTTGTTAATATTTATATTATTAGAATGTTTAACTTTTAGGCAGGCCTGCCAATTTAGCACTTTTCCCGTCAGATCTAGCTTTTTCGAAGTCCATTCAGCGGGAGGAAATTGCGGGAAGCAGGAATTCTAGCTTTTTGAGAAACTTTTTGACGGATTTTTAGCTTTTTCCCTTATACAATACAGTATATATAATATATATGATTACGGATTTAAAATTTTAGTTTTTAATAAAATCAAATATCGTAGATAATTCTACGTTCTCTAATAACACTACAATTTGGCTACTCTCTTTGTTGGCTATTGTGAATGGAGCTTTTGACATAAAAAGTGAAATCATTAGCCCAGATAATAATATAGATGTAATCTCGATTGATTTTGAGCAACATATCAATAAAAGTTGCTATTTGGGATATAACTTCGAAAAGANTTTTGAAATAAAAAGTGAAATCATTAGCCCAGATAATAATATAGATGTAATCTCGATTGATTTTGAGCAACATATCAATAAAAGTTGCTATTTGGGATATAACTTCGAAAAGAAAATATTAGAGATGAAAACCTCCTCTGGGCTAACCGAGGAATCAGAAAAAGATATAAGAACAATATGTACAAATTTTGTAGTAGTGCTTATCAACCAACTAAAACAAAGGTATAATAGTAACATGCACATATACATACGTATTAGTATAAAGTTATTTGAAAAATGTTATTATTGCAGGTTACCAGATAATTTCGATACGATTAAAAAGGTTAATCTTGCCTATTACGGTATCCGACGGATGCCATCCGGATCTAATAGAATTCGCACTGTCATAACAAGCGAGTGATAAGGATTAGATTCAAGAGAATGGGGTCCCTCGGAAACAGACCTATTCCGGTCCGACAGATAGCATTCGCACGTATCTAATCCTTCGCTCTCGCTTATTCCAACAGTGGGAATCTGATTAGCTCCGTGCGGATGGCATCCATCGGATACCGTATTAGGCATAAATATGTTTTCAGTGGGCAATGTTTTACATGCATCGCATGAGGAGATAGAAGATGTTTTAAAACATTTTAATTACAGTGATGATATGATAGAAAAAATAATAATTCAGTATAATAGAATTAATTTTGTAAAATGGAATAATATAAGCAATACNAGTATAATAGAATTAATTTTGTAAAATAGAATAATATAAGCAATACGATGCAATTTTGGGCAGAAGTTGAAACTTATACGAATGCAGCTGGTAACAAATTGTTTTCCGATTTGGCGGAATTTGTACTTCATTTAATTTCACTACCTTGGTCTAATGCAGACGTGGAACGATTATTCAGTCAGCTAAACTTGGTGAAAACAAAGCTACGCAACAGTATACACTTAATTACTATAAATGCTATATTAAGTATAAGGTACAATTTTTATATACAACTCGTGTAGAATTTATATATTAAATAACATAAATTTCCAGACGCGGTCTTAAAAGGCATAATAAGTGCTGCACAGACTATGAAATTCCAAGAAGTTATTTAAGGATGATTCGAACAAATAAGGCATACGAAAACAAGAGTGTCGATTATAATAATCAGCAGTGTTGCCAGAACTTTTTGGACGAACCGGCTAAGTTGGCAAATCAAACCGGCTAAAAACGGCTAAAATGTTTCACCTAAATTTCACATGATTTATTTAAATAAATCACGAGTAAAAAGACTATTTCTTGGAGAGAAGTAACAAATTCGAGCCGGAAAAGATTTTGCCAGCAATATATGATTGTGGCACATGGTTGGATTTTTTGTCGACGATAATTTGAATAAACAAGTTCGTTAAATTTAAAAATTTACAAACTGGAGCGATTTTAAAATGAAAAATGTGAGTTAATACTTGTTTACTTAATTAATTTAGTTAATTCCAATGATTTGAAAGGTACTCGGCAAAAAAACTATCTATTACTATTCTTCTTCTTCTTTTTTGGCGCTGTAACCGCCTAAGCGAATTTGGCCGAGTTCAGCAAAGCACGACAGCCTTAGCAAAGCACGCCAGTCTATTACTATTACTATCTGATATTTTGAGTGANCGTTAGCAAAGCACGCCAGTCTATTACTATTACTATCTGATATTTTGAGTG